CCTTGCCAAGAGGTGTCGCAGTCTTGGGAAGGCTTGGAGCAAAGAAATGGAACCTCACGAGCTTCTGAGCAGAGACTCAGGCTTGGCTGTTCCATCTAGAGGGAGGCCCAGAGGTGCCTGATGGAAAGAAGTGGGCTGAGGAGCTTGGGGTTCCAGTGGTGGGGGGAAGGGCACATTCCCAGTATTTCCAGATTTCCCCACACCATGGTAGTGATGACTTCCTCCAAGCTGCCATCACCCTCCTCCAGCTCATGTGTATAAAAAGCACTGCCGCCTCCCTTCCCTCACACTCCTTTCCAGGGGCCGGAGGCAGTTTCACGCCCAGTCCCAGCAGCATGGCCACCAGTGAAGGTGCCAGTTTCCCCATGACAGGTTTGTTTTCACTCCTGCTCCCAAGAACAGAATTGGGACCACCTAGAGGCCCCATCTAAATGCCCATTTGCACTATGTGCAAATCTGAGGATTTCTGGGGTACCAGAAGAAGTCACGCCAGCATCATACGTGTTGATGGGCATCTGAGTGGTCCAGGAGCTAGCTAGGTGTTGGCCTACACAGTTGCCATATTTGGCTGAAGGTTGCTAGGCTTAAATCATCACCAGAGATGACTGAGCCAGGCACACTGCTCCATAGAGGGGTGACCAGAGTGAATGGGGACAGGCTACCAGGAGTGAGGTACCAGGGCCTCGATCTTTATGTGGAAGTCCTCTCCTCATTCCCTCTGCCTCCCAACCCCTCAAGGCCTCGCCTGTGCAAACCTTCCTCTCTGTAGCCTTCTATGACCTCTCTTCCAGGCAAAATGAGTTTTTCATACACCTCTGATGTATTAAATATTACTGACCCCATGCTGGTGGAATGATGAGTGTGAGGCAGATATGTTGATACAGTGGAAAGGTCCAGGCTTAGGGGCTGCACAGCCCTAAGGTTCAGTCCCAGCCTGCCCTCTTAACATTTGCAGAAGAGGAACACAGGCCCCAGCACAGAGGTGCCTCTGCACCTGTCTGTCCGAGAGGTCCTGAGGGCAGGAACCACATTGTGGACACACCTGCTAGAGTCTGCACTCAGTGAAGTCATTGCAGGGAAAGGATCTGGAGAGTCCTTGGCATGAGCGCAGGTCTGAGCTGCTGTGCCTGGAGCCCCGGGACCTGCCGGTGCCACCTTCTATAGCACCACAGTACGCCTGTGCCCGTCCTTTCCAGGGAACACTGAGAGGCACTGTGGGCCCTTTCTTTTATCAGTCTCATCCAGTACATTACCGAATTCTGCTCTTTTTTTATTTAAAAATGACTCCTTCCTATTGATTCCAAATTGCTAAATCAGGAGATTCCAAGGTTTAAAGGTTTGTGGTCATCTACTTTTTTAAAACACTTATTTGAATTTGTCACTACAAATGTACATTCCTTTTACAATAACTTTTTAGTTTAAGAAAGATCAGTTTTTAAAGGCTCTCCTTTGTCCAAGAGTATCAGGCTCCCTGCCCAGGCCCTCACCCTGTGGCATTGTGTGTGGCCTCTGCACCCACCCCTCCACCCCACACTGTGCTGCACTCCAGGCTTCCCAGGCCCTCCTTGCTCTGTCGCTACCCTTCAGCTTCAGAATCTGGTAGTGCTTCCCTTTTTCCTCCCACACCAAGTCCTCCCTCCTCCATCCTCTCTAGCTTGGTTGCCTCTTCCTTCCAGACTCACCTCAGCTGTCTTCTCCCCCAGGAAGGACTCCCTGCCTGACTGGGCTCCCCTCCTCTATTCCCCTGGGGCTTCTTCTCCCTGGCTTAAGTGTATGCTGGCCTCACTGGACTGTGTACCCTCTGAGGGCAGCTGGGACCTCACCTAGTCAGGCACATAGGAGGTCCCTCATGCTTGTGGCATGGGTGCACCTTCTGACCCTGCTCACCCATGCAGTGTCATCATCGTCATGTATGCTGCATATGTGATGCTCATCCAGTGCTGTGTGTGTGTGTGCAGAGGCCTATTCCCTCCCTACCTGTCACCTGTAGCTTGCCCACTCCAACCCATGGCATGCTCTGCCTCTTCACCCATCAGTCCATTTGTGAAAACACTTTTTCACTGAGAAACTTCATCACAGTTTGTGATTTAATAAAGTTGCCCTTTGTATTGCCTTTGAATCTGCAGTGCCTGCGTGGCTTCTTGGAGATGCTCAGGGAAACTGTGCCCCAGTTAGTTGGGATTTTGGGGCCACAGGCTGGGACACAGCTCTGAGATGGCCCCAATTCCTTACAGAGCCACAGGGGAGCTGTCAGGCAATAACGGCCTACGGCTTCCAAGAGCTTCTAAGGTGTCCTAACTTGATGGAAGAGCCTGCTGTGAAAGCTCTGTGGTGTCAGGGAGAGAGATAGTTATGAGATCTTTAGGAGAAATAGCCATAGGAAAACAGAAACAGTTGAGATTGGCTGTCAGTCTTGTTAGGTGTGTTGGGAATAACAGCCATTTGCATATTATCTGAAAACAAATTGGCTAATGGGCTAAACACAGTTGTGCCCTTAACACTGCCCAGGTTAGACAAGAGATAAATGCAGCTGGAAATGATAATAACAATGAGAACCAGGGCACCGACAGGTCTGTGGAAGGTCTATCACGTGCTCACTACAGACAGCATCTCTTCCCAGCCTCTTACTAGCACCGTGCGGAGCAGAGACCCCACCCTGATCCCTCTTCCAGTGAGAGGCTGGCTCTGAAGAGCAAGCTGAGGCACTAGGCCACTCTGAGGTCTTTTTAAACTTTATTTCTCAATCCAGGGTTTTTATCAATTTGTTTATTCTAGTGCAAGAACCCGAGCAGGTAGAAGGACGACTAAGCCTTGCTCCTTGAGTCAGATAGGAGCTGACAGATCAGTAAGAGGCAGGCAGGTGGGTGGGCTGAGGAGCAGGGGCACCCTGAAGGCTTTCGGGGCTGGTGGGGGAAGAGCTAGCCTGGAAATGTAACAGGACAGTAGAGAACCTTGCAAGAGCAAAAGGAGAGAAAAGCCATTCAATACCGGAGCAGAGAGCTTGAGGAAAGGTAATAAGGAGTAGGACAAATGTAAGTCAATTCTAGGATTAGTGTCAGCCTGAGGCTCTGGAGAGCAGCCGGGAGATATTGACAGAGCAGGGAGAGCAGGGATTACACAAATAACCGATTAAAGAACATGACGGGGCGGGATAAAGAGCTCCAGTGTCAGCAGGGGAGGGAGCAGTACAATGCAGCCTGTCCTGAAAAGTCCTGTGCCTGGGTGTGGGAACAGAATATGGCTCTGGGTCATATTGCAAAGGAGAATGGCATATTTTCTGGTTACAGGAGGCTTTAGTGGAGGCGTGTTGAGGACTGGGGCTGCACTCTCAGGGCGTGTCCTGTCCCCGCAGAGCCTGACTTCACCTATCCCTGGGCATGGGAGGAGGAGCACTCACAAGGCAAGTGATCCTTGAGTGGCGGACCTGCCCAGCATGGTGTTCTTAGAGAAAAGGTGCAAAACTGGGAAGCTGACAGAGGAGTAGATTAATAGTTGTCACTAGAGGATGATTCTCAGATTCACCCGGCCTAGCCCAGAGCAGAGCTGATGCCCCAAATAGTGTTTAGATCTCCACATAAGGCCTTCCCCTAGGACTTGCCCCTCTGGCTGTTGACCAGTAAGCCCTGCAGATGAACCCACAGAAGGAGATTGTATAAAGGAAGGAAGGAAGGAAAGGAAAAGGAGGGAGACATAGGCTAAGTGTGGGCAGCTTCAGCCGTGAGGCAGTGAGGAATCTGCAGGAGGCAAGGACAGTGGCTGAGCGCCCGCCCTGTAAGGAGAAAAATCAGTTCCCTCTAAGACAAAATGGCAGCTGCCAAAACAGAGTGGACACACCAGGAAGATACGGTCTCAGTCTTCATGTGAGGAAATGTGAAATTTAAAACAGCAGTCAATAAATAACTGAAGTGGGAATACGGAAAAAACAGTGATGCAGGGAGGCGAGCATGGAATTTGTATCTTCAGTCAAATTCCGCAGCTGATACAACATTTGTCTCCTCTGTGAACTTGATTCTACAGTGGAAGGACGTGTGTATGCGTGTGCACACATGCTCGTGCTGTGGCAACGACAGCCCCCACCCTTCTCTCCTGCACCCCATGGCTCACACATGCACATCAGGTCCCCCCACAAGCACATCATCTACTCTCCGGGTCGGGGCCATGGCTCACCCTTGCTTGTGGGGCACTGAGCTCTGCAATGGTGCTGGCATGGCACAGAGTTCATGATACTTCCAGGCTGGCCTATTGCCAGGTATGCAAACTTCACTCCTACAGGGTGACTATTGGCCATGTGGCTTCTACACGTTGGGGCATTTGTTCCAGGCTGGCTTGAGCCATATGATGTTGAAGTCCACTCCCCAGCACAGCTCCCTCAGCAAGGTCTGTGCTCAACCATTGCAGGGCCAGGGAGAATTATGCATCAGGACCCAGCCCAGGACAGACACCATCCCGTTGCAGGGCACGCTCACACACATCCACATGCACTCAGACTGGGACCCTGCAGACGCACCTGAACATCACACGCACAGCTTTGGGATGTGGAAGAAAACCAGAGTACCAGAGACAACACACGCAGGCACAGGGAGAAGGCGCAGCTGCCACACAGACCATGGACGTTATCTGTGGACCTGCTCGCCCCAGCCTCACAGACTTGAACAACCTCCGCCACAGTCAACTCCTATTGACTTTTAACCCAACTGACAGATACAAAAATCTTAAAAAAGAAAAAACTAGACAGCGTGAAGATTTTGTAGGAATCTATGTCATGGTGTCTAACTTTCGGGCCACTGGCTCCTTTCCTTTCATCCTGACTAAAATGTATTTATAGCATGCCAGTTGCCATCAGGTGGCTGTGCCAGGGCAGGCATGGGCAGTGGGAAGGACCTCCTCTAACTCCCACCTGGTAGCACCCAAAGCTGGGCAGGGCAGAATCCTGACTTGTGGCAGCTCCAGGGTCGCACGCTGACCCTTCACTCATCGGGTCTTTTCCTTTTCTCTCCCAGGTGTTCCACTGTGTCCACTTTGAATGTCCAGAGCAGCAGAGCAGCCAGAAGGAGGAAAACAGTGAGGAATCGGGGACAGGGGACACCAGCCTGGCCAGTCAGCAGCTTGACCCCCACGCCCTGCGGGCACCCAGTGGCAGCTCGCTGCCCTCCAGCCCAGGCTCCAGGTCACGCTCCCCCAACCGGCAGCACCAATAAAGGAGGCAGCAGGCCTGGTGTGACTTGGTGGGCTCTAGCGACCACAGGAAATGGTCTCCTCCCTGAGCAGTGGTCTTTGGTTTCCGCCCCCACCCCCGCCCCCGCCCCCGCCCCTTCCCAGGGAGGAGCAGCCTGGCTGCAAAAGCGGACACAGAACAGGTTTTCTCTCAAGGACAGAAAGGGGCTGCTTTATTCTCAATTTGTCCAAATCAGGCTGCTCTCCAGGGGGAGAAAATGGGTCTTCAATCTTCATCAAGTCCAACATTAACACCCTACCTCTCTAATCTAACCCAGGCGCAGGGAACGGGGGAAGTAATAGACAGGCCTGTGTTGGAATACAAAAATGGCACACGAACGCTTAGGTGGAGGAGGACACATCAGGCCTTTGTTACCTGGAGGCGCCCTTTAGGAAATGGGCTTCCACAGAGTGCTTACTGTTACGGAATACATTGCCCTGGCAACTAAATGATTTTTTATTTCTTTTAGTTATTCTCATTCAGTGAATTGTAGGTGTTCCAGATCTATCTGAAATGCTCAAACAGCAAATCACTTGTTTTAATCCCTATTGATACTGTAATTTTCCTTCCTTGGTTTTGAACTGTTCAGCTTGTGGGGACAGTGACCCATCATGCATGTCTCCTAAATGAGACAAGACGCAGCTCATCCTGGCACCTGGCCACAGAAGAAAGCCTCTGAGGAAGTTCATCAAATGCACACGAGTAAATCAACCTGTGGACAATGGAAGTAACAGTCACTCACATGGCTGAGTTATTCACCTGTCATTCCTGAAATGTCTTTACGCTTGGGAGGCTGACAGCGAAACTCTTACTATGCCCACTGCTAATTCACCATTCAGAAGTCCATGTAAATAAACATACACTGAGTTCTGGTGTGGCCATACCTGCCCATGGCTTTGCTGCCCCTGCGGGTGTGTTTAGCAGAGTATCAGAGAGGCAGCTGCCTGCCCATCAGCACTGGGAATGCAGAACTGGGACTTGGTGCTTTCCCCACACCACAGTACTCAACTGGGGATTGAAAAATAGCACTTCTAGGAAGCTTTTCTCCTAATCCTCATTGAAAGGACCTCATTTGACAGTGGTGGCTTGATCTGGCTCCGTCTCTTAGTGATTTCCTTTCCAGTTCTGACTGCCCTGGGTAACTGCACACATCATTGCTTGCCCCTCCACTGTCTCCAGAGCTCCGGCCTCTGGCCATCGGTGTCTGCCTGGGAGTCTCCCCAGGATGGCACAGCATGCGAGCAGCATCTCAGTCCCTGGGTCCTCAGTGCCAACCTGCAGTCTTGATCAGAGGAAGGTGAGAGCGCAGAGTTTCCTTTCTGCTATCTCAAAGACATATCGGCTGGGTCTAGAAAGAGCCAATGGGTCAGCTGCCTCCTCCTGGCTTAACTTTGTTTTGAGTGATTCTCCATATTGAAACAGTTGGGTAGCATCAAACTGCATGATTAAATTGGAAGGCTGTCTTTCCACGTGAACACAGGACGGCAAACATCAGGGCCACCCGGGCAGAGCAACCAGGTTCCTGGGGAAAAGCCAGGGTCTGTGGTTCTCTGTCCTCCTCAGAGGCTCCAGCTGCAGGGCTGAGCTGCTTCCTATCCCCTCAGCTCTGATCTCCGCCACTTCCCTGTTGTTCTGTGGGTGAGCGGAACGCCCCTGGGGTTTCAGGCAATTCATAATGTGAGGAGGTTCCTGTAAGGAACAGTGGGCACCTGCTCATGGTGGGGGGCCCTCCAGCATGGTCGCTGACTCTGTCAGCCTCCAGCCCCAGGTTGCCAATTAGCCAGAGAGCCCCTGTGCACTCAGCACTTCCTTCCCCAGTGTGTTTTCTACCCATATGGGGACAGAGGAGCCAGATCAGTCATATCAAGGGCAGAGTTCAAATGTTTTGAAAGAGCCATTCAAATGCTTCTTTTAACATGGGTATCTGCTGTCCAGAGTCCCCAGGCCTGGAGCAGCACACTGCTGACCTTGGGAAGAGAGGGTGGGCTGGTGCAGGGGGTGGAGGAGCTGCCCAGCCCTGCATCTGCAGCCCTCCAGCCCCCTGCCCACAGAGCACACAGGGCCCTCCTATGCTCTGGGAACTACATGCCAGCTTGGCAGCTCGCCCTGGCATCTGAAAAGGAACATGCTGCAAAACCTCACCCCTAGACCCATATCTGCCATTCCTGGACCCGCGGGGCACTTTCCTTTGGGGCATGCACCTCCAGATCTCTGTGTCTTCTGAATTCCAGCACTTTAAAGATGCCCCTTATTATCAGATAAAGAGAAGTAAGGGGAAGATGGGGCATCGCTAGCAACAGATGTCTCACTCCCCACAGCCGCCCTGCCAGCTTGCCTCCCTCACTTTGCTGGGAGCCTGCCTCGGACTCCAGGAGAACTTCCAGGCAGGAGGGGCACTGCCCTTCCCCGAAGGGGCCTTCCGACTTGGGCAGGAGCTCTTTCTGTGTGTCCAGCTGGGCCTGGAGGCCACAGTCAAGGTGTGTCACACCACACACCAGGGCAAGGCCCTCATCTCCAGGGAACAGGGATAAGTGAGCAGCTGCCAGAAAGTCCCCAGCAGCCTGGAGTTCCCCAGAGCCTGGCTGGTCCTACAGAGCACTTCTCCCCTGGCCATCTGGACCAAAATGACCTAAAAACTTGAAGCTAAAAGCAAATGCTGATGATGGGATGGTCTGGCACGTGGCTGGGAGGATTCCTGGGCACCACAGAGCCCTCAGCCCATCAGAGAGTAGGGGCTGAGTCCTCGGGGAGCGGAGGGGTGTGAGGAAGGAGATAGGCTGGCACCCAGCAAGGCAGTCTCATAGGCGGGGCACCTGGAGCACTTTGGACCTCAAGCAGCTGTGAACCCCTCCCCATCCCCACACACACAGACACATGTTTTGCCATTTTCTCAGTGCTTTTTCCGCTTTCATTGTTTTGATTTTAGTTAGAACCATGAGCCATGATGGATGTGAGACTCTTCTCAATTGCTCTTTAAATTGTCACTTTTTTAATCCTATTAAATGAAGTGTCGATTCCTGACAAATACATTAAAAGTGTTTTATTCCTAGAAGAATTGGGAAAAAAGAAATTATTTTCAGCAAGAGTAGGATGTGTTTGTTAGACTGATTCCTTGGCAAAAAGAGAAAAAAAGCTTTTGAATTGTGCAAAAAATTGCCCAGTAGTTATGCTGTCGCCCCAGTTGTCAAACTGCTGTGCAGACGGCTGTAACCCAGTCAACTTCACCTTCTTTTTAATTTAGAAGATAACAAAATTGTACTCACTTATCCTTTCCAGAGCCAAGGGGGAAAAGGAAGGTAAAATCTACAACAAAAAGCGAGCGTTCTGTGTGCTGAGGCCACTCGGTAATAAAGAGACGGATCATTCCCCCTCGAAAACTTCAATTAAGAACCTCCCTTTGGACAGGGAAAAAAGGTGTCAAAGAGGAAAAGAAAATTAAATTGCCTCCTTCTAGTTCTTCCTCCTTAGCGCTTGGTTGTCGGTGTTATTATTTTAATCTTGCCTTCTGCGTGGTGACCAGCTCCTGCAAGCAATGCCCAGATCGGGTGCAGCTTGGGCAGGGCAGGTCCGCAGCGATGCCACGGCAGAGGTGGGCGTGCTCCATTGATTTTGGCAACTGTAGCCATTGATTCTGTGTGTTTATCCTGACAACAGCTCCAGCGGGAGTTCAGTTAGGAATTGAAAATGCAGTTCATGGTTCTGTGCCGCTGTGGCTTTATTATTACAATATTAAATTAGAAGTTGTCCTAGTGCCTGGTGTTTGCTCAGGAGTTTCCAGAAGAGAGGGAAGGGAATGGTTAAAACAGCATGCAGGAAAAACTGGAACGCTCCCATCTCTCTCTCTCTGACATGGACCCAGTCATACCTGGGGCTGGGACGGGCTTTGGAGGCCCTGGTCATTTGCAGAGTGAACGCTTGGAGAGAAGACCAGTTGCAGATAATGCCCAGCCAGTGCCAGTGCAAGGCAAGGCTGGGGGAGAAGGAGCGGATGCAGTAGGTCTTTGTGGTAGGTCTCTGGCTTCCTTTGGATCGGAGGGGAGAGGCTTTGCCCTTCTTGGCTCCTGGCTGCACCACTGAGGATGCTCCAAGGGACAGCATGCTCATCCTGGCTGTGTGTAGTGCTGGCCCCAAGCCCCGCAGCCCTCCAGCTAGGACTTCCTACTAGGTTCATGCAGAGGGAGGGGACAGGTGCACGGACGAGGGCCCCCCCCCCCCCACACGCTTGTTTGAAAATCACTGTTCTCTTTACTCACTTAAAAAAGTGTACAGGGAACACCTGCTCCTGGCATAATGCTCCAACCTCACAGAAGGGGCCAGGGTGCCCCTCATCTGGCTCTGGCTGCTTCCAATCTGGGCCCACGCCATCGTTTGCTTCCTGTCTGACCACCACTGGTCATGGTGCTGCCTGGCCCTCACCCTGCCTCCGACCCACCCAGCACCTTGACCTCTCCCATGCCAGTCTGCTGCACCCAGGAAGCTCCCAGTCAGAAGCCAGGCTGAGCGGCCTCCTGCCCCATCGGGTTAGTGTCTTCTTTTTTTTCCAAGAACTGAAATATTCCCCCAGAGGTCTCATGGTCTAAAGACTCACAATCATCCACCTGTAATTTATGATAAATGTCTGGGAGCATTTACCATTTGCGTCGTGAGTATTTATAGCCCTGAGTGGGGAGGGTGGAGGAGGCCCTGCAGCCAGGAACCACACACCTGTCTCTGCTATTGTCTCCTGCTTGGCAGAGCCCCCCCAGCCTCCTCAAGGCTGTTCTGCAGCTCTGAAAGCTGAGGAGTGCCACCTTTGAAAACCTGTGGACAGTCACTCTGCTAGGGAGAAGGTGCCGAAGCAGAGGCCCAGGCCCTGGCACAGAGGAGGCGTTGCGAGGCTGGACATGGGCTGGAGGGACTGAGCAGCCTTCAGGGCAGGGACTGGGCCCTGGGTCGCTGGAGACATTGATATTAGTCCATCTGTCTGCTGCCAACTTGTTTGCTCCTCCGGCACCGTGAGCCCCAGGGGTTTATGTCCCGGGAAGGTGAGGGTGCCCATCTGGGTAGAATTGGGAGGGGACTGCACCAGCTCGTCTCCCTCAGGGCCTTCGCCTCCTGGTGCTGCCCTGGCAGCTGCTCCTGCACCACAGCCCCTGAGGGCTGCTAGTTCCAAGTTCCCAGGTTTACTCCCAGCCCACATCTCCCACCCAGGCCTGAGGGTGCGGGCAGTCTTAGCTGTAAGGTCTTTTAGGCTGACGGCACCATGGACTGCATGGCAATCTCTGTGACCTGCACGTACACTCCAGATGAGTTCCTGGAAATGGAAAACCACAAACGGGAAGAATGACCAAGCCCTGCACACCTAATAACTTTGAGACACTCTCTATTGTTCCTTATCAATTGATAAGTCAGGGAATAGGACTTTGTAACTGATTTTGGCCAACCTCATGACTCCGGACCCTATGACAACCCCTCCCAGCTTGCAAAAACCTCCCTAAACTAACTTCTGTAACTTCCCACACCCTACCCCAAACCTATAAAACCAACTCCTATTCCTCTGCCTTCTGCTGACTCTCCTTTCAGACTCAGCCCACCTGCACCGGGTAAATAAACAGCCCTGTTACTCCCACAAAACCTGTTTGGAGGGTCTCTTCATTCAGAGCGTGTGTTTTAACATTTGGTGCCAAAATCCAGGACAGGGGTTCTCCTCTGGGGAGACCAGCCCCCTGTCCTCACTCCTCGTATGGGAAGAGACCCACCTGAGACTCAACACATTAGATCAGATCAGCAGCTTGTGCTCAGCGTGCCAAAAAGCTCTCGCTCTCTCTCCCCCGCCCCTTTTTTCTTTAGAGAAAAGGAGACTACTCTTGGAGACTTGTCTTGGAGTCTCTCTCTCTCCCTTTTCCTTTAAATCCCAAGGAGACAAGTCTCAGTCTCTCTCTTTTCCTTTAAATCCCAAAGAGACAAGTCTCCCTCTCAAAGTAGAGGCAAAGAAGACACTTTATCCATGTGCTCAAAAACTCCAGCATCAGTCATGGACTCGGGAAGACGGTCTTCCCTTGGTGTCTGATCAATCGAGGGATGCCTGTCTTGATCACTCACCCGTGTTACAGCCCAGGAATCTGTTAGGGACGCCTACTGAAAACCCTGGTACTGCTCACTCCATCTCCTCATCTCTACTTCTCATCCTTAAAACTTATCTCCTTCACCAGGGGCAATATTGCGCCCTCTATTCCTCTGTCTTTGCCTCTAGCCTGCGTCCTAAAACCTCTTCAACTATCACCCAATATGAAACCTAAACATCTCATTTTTCTTTTCCGTAACACAGCCTGGCCTCAATACAAATGAGGCACTGCTTCCAAATGGCCAGAAAACAGCACTTTCAATTTTTCTATTCTGTGAGACCAAAACCGTTTTTGTCAACGAATGGGCAGGTGGTCTGAGGTGCCCGATGGCCAGGCATTCTTTTTTATACTCCAGTCCCTCCCTGACCTCTGCTCTCAGTGCAACCCATCCCAAATTTTCCTTTTCTCCTGCCTTCTGCTCCTGCCTCTGCCAGTAACCCAGAATCATCCTTGTCTATCGACCCTTCCAACCTTTCTCCTCCACCCCATTCCAAACCAGACCCCAGTCCAGGCCCTAACCCCCACCCCAGAGCCTGCCTCCTCTTTCTCTGCTGACAACCCACCTTCTTATGCCCCTCCTGGCACCTCCCAACCTCTTACCCCGTCTGGCTTACAGTCGAGTCCCGAGGCTTCCTCCTCCACCCCGACCAACAATTCCCCCTTCGAGAGGTGGCTGGAGCCAAAGACACAGTCAAAGTGCACATTTCATTCTCTTTATCCGACCTTTCCCAAATCAACCAATGGTTGGGCTCCTTTTCATCAGATCCTCAGTACTTAACCCAGTCCTATAATCTCACCTGGAGTGACGTAAATGTCATCCCTACTTCCACTCTTACCCCTGAAGAACACTTAATATGCATTTAATCACCCAACTGGCCCCTGACATTAAAAAAGCTACAGAAATTAAAATCTGGCCCTCAAACTCCACAACAGGAATTAATCAACCCCGCCTTCAAGGTGTTCAATAATAGGGAAGAAGCTGCCTGGCGGCAGCACATCTCAAAACTCCAGATGCTGCCCCTGCCGTAAGACACACCCCAGCCACACCACCGGCTCACAAAGACTTCAAAGCGCCCAGACTGCAGGGTCCAGCCTCCCCTCCTAGACCTTGCTCCAACTGTCAGAAACCTGGCCACTGAGCCAAGGAATGCCCGCAGCCCAGGATTCCTCCTAAGCCCTGCCCCGTCTGTGCGGGGCCCCCATTGGAAGCTGGACTGTCCGACTCATGTCCCTGCTCCCAGAGCTCCTGGACGGAATCCTTCCCAGATCTCCTCAGCTTGGCAGCTGAAGACTGACGCTGCCCGGACATCTCGGAGGACCCCTGGACCATCACAGACACCAAGCTTTGGGTAACTCTTTGGCAGAGGGTAAGTCCATCCCTTTCTTAATCAACACGGGGGTCACCCACCCCATGCTGCCTTCTTTTCAAGGATCTGTCTCCTTGGCCTCTAACTGCTGTGGGAATTGATGGCAAGGCCTCCAGGCCTCTCAAAACTCCCCAAGTCTGGTGTCAATCAGGCCAGCAGTCTTTTCCCATTCTTTCCTAATCATCCCCACTTCTCCAGGCCCCGTTAGGCTGAGATATCTTAGCAAAACTGTCTGCCTCCTTAACTATTCCTGGGCTATAGCCACACTTCATCGCAGCCCTCCTCCCCGAATGGGTACCTCCCTCAATAGCTCCCCGTACGTCCCCCTCCCTTTACCCTAGAGTGCGGGACACCACCTCCCCATCGCTTGCTACAAGCCACTCACCCCGCATCATCCCCTTAAAACCTAACCACCCTTATCCCACCCAGCACCAGTACCCATCCCAGCACAAGCCTTCAAAGGCCTAAAGCCTGTTATTCCTCACTCACTGCAACATGGCCTGTTAGTTCCTACAAACTCTCCTTACAGTTCCCCTATCCTAGCTGTCCAAAGCCAGACAAATTCTACAAACCAGTCCAAGACCTCCGCCTCATCAGACCATACTTCCCATCTGCCTGGTTGTACCAAACCCTTACACCCTTTCTTCCTACCTCCTTCCATAACTCTCTATTGTGTTCTCAACCTCGAAAACGCTTTTTTCTAAAGCCCACATTTCTTCCCCATCTGTTTTAATCCTTTGCCAGCACACATGCGCTCTCCCTGCCAACCATATCCAGTTGATTTCCCAAACCCAACCCCATCCACTAAACAAGAGCTTCTCCTTCCCAGGCGCTGTAGGATACTTTCGCCTCTGGATACCAGGTTTTGCCCCCCTAACCAACCACTTCATGAACTTACAAAAGGAAACTTAGCTGACCCCATAGACCAAAAATCCTTCCCCCATTCTTCCTTCCATTTCTAAAAAAGGCCTTAGAGACTCCTCCTACTTTAGCGCC